TTACACACCGGTCGACGTTTACTCCGCCATGATGTGGTTGTCTGAAGGCGGAAACAACATATCTGCAAAGACTATTAGATATTGTTGGTGCCACACAGGCATAGTCATTCCCTGGACGATTGGTACTGAGTGTTGATGGTCGCCTCAAAACTAAACGTAAATTTACTACTGAACTAACAAAATAAATATCAGTGCACTGGATTTGCGTTTGTTTTATGCTTTACGTTGTGCACTTATGCCCTGGCACTGTTGATATGGTCCGCCCTGCCGAATTGGAGGTGCACAACTGTATCTAGAATTCTGGATGATGTGACCCATTCTAGATGAATGCTCAGTTTCTAGATTTTAAATGGAGTACTTTCCTTTTATTCTGAAAAATGATTTGCCTACACGAGTAGGAGTAGTAGTATTCAGAATATTTACCTCACATTTTAGTAGTTTCACGAGAGAGAGGAGGGGTAACAGAATAATAAACATTTTACTTCTCCCACCGGTGCGAGCAAAATAAATGACCGTGCGACACAATCTGATTGGCTAATAAAATATTTTTGTAATTAGTGGTCATGTGTTGTTAATTCTACGTTGACACACAAAAGTCATCATTCCCGTGAAACGACTCATATTGCGCATGCCAAAAGTACACTTCGGGACGAAAGTATAGTTGGGGACGACAGTACAAATGGAGTCGACAGCGACATCGACAGACAGCCAACAGTCCTCATTTCACTTCTCGTATTCCATTTCTCAGGGCAGAGAGCTTAGCTCGCAGGAATGGACCTTCCGGCTACAAGTCGTCTGTACAATGAAGCCCTCGCTGCTGCAAAATTTGCTAACCAGCGCCTTGAAGCCCACACAAGGGTCGATTATACTGGAAGTTTGCGCCGCTTTGTTGAGTTCTGCAAGCAAGAGGGATATTCCAACCCCATCCAGCAGCGCTTCGTTGAGCTTCCAGGTGTCGTTGCCGCATATATCAATCGCATTGCCACGACAAACCCCAGCCAGTGGCCTGCGGAAAAGCTTCGAGCCGCTCTTTCATGGCACTACACCATGCCAGAAATGCTTGTCGGCGGGCACCCTCACGATCGCTGGGCCGTAGAAACGACGGCAGATGGACAAGCCGTTCCTCGTGACAATCCTGCACGGTCAGCCGCCATCACACAGATTTTGGCAAGCCTAAGTAAAGCAAAAAGACGTGAGAGGACTCCCAAGCGGGCTTCCCCGATGTCGTTATCGATGCTGTCCAAATTGATAGCGTTTCTGCAAGATAACACCATGTTCAACAAGACGATGCGCTTGTGGTTTTCCGCTGTGTGCTCACTGTGCTTTTCATGGAATGTGTCAAATCAACTCCTGATGAAGAAGGGCGACATTCAATTGGGGCTTCAACGCAAGTCGCGTAAGGATGGCACTCTGATCAGATTTGGCTGTTTTACGATACGCGACAGGAAGGCAGATCACGACCTCTAGCAAGGCGGACGTAT